GAACTCGCTAAGACTCCTACTCTATAGATCTACAGATCGAACCCCTGCTTCCTTTGGGACCCTATGACAGACTACTAACTGTTACAAATACACAGGTCGCAGGTTCAACTCTCGGGGTCTACACAGGTACTGTACACAGGCAGGGCAAGGTCTAGGGATCGAATCTTGGGATCTGCGTCTGCTACTGCTAAGAGGTGAAAACCGTTTCACTCCTGCCATCCTAAATTCGAGGTCCTCCGAGAATATTTCAGCCCACGGCAGGACCTTTACCCCTCTTATCAAGCTCATAGGCTCTGACTATGTCGGGAGCTGTTTCTAGAAGTTCTGTCCTTGTAAACCAGCGGTCGACTTCCGGTTCCTGATAAGCAAACCGGACCTTATACTGTTTCTGGGGACGACCTCTACCTCCTGTTCTGAACACATCCTCATCTACAATGCCATCAATGTCATAACTTCCGTCCATATCATAACTTCCGTCCATATCCGGGGGGATCATGGATCTTCTTGAAGGGAATTGATGACTTGTGACACACGGCAACAGCTTTGAAGCATGGAACACAGGGTATGTGTGGAGGTGTGCTGGTATCTCTATAGTTTAGGACGGTCCATCTTCTCCGCCCTTGACTTCTAGAACCGGCCACGGTCCTCTATATGCAGGCAGCAATTTCTGCAAGATGTGCTCCTCAGGTGCAAACTCTTTGGACTTGACCCAGACTAAGTCGCCTACTTGGAACTGAGACGGGCAACGATGCTTGTTTGCCTGTTCTATCATTCTGTGCTGGGCCTTCCTGAGGTTTTCAACAACTGTTGCTAGTTCTTTCTCGTGCTGTACTGCGAACTCCCTGGTACCGGGCGGTAGTCTGTGAATCTGATCCCGGTTCAGTCCTTCGAACGGTCTGCGTTGTCTAAAGGACTTGTGCAGCTCATTGGGAGTGCGGCAGGTGGATAGATGCACGCTGTTGTTGTATGCACTAGCTACCTTAGGCAACATCTCATCCCAGTTGATCTGGTCAGGTCTCATGTACATGCGCAGAACTTGCTGTGGGATCTTGTTCATCTGTTCAGTCTGACCGTTAGTCTCTGGATGGCGGCCAGACGACATCAACAAGTTAGATCTGTAGACTCTCATGAGTTCTTGCCAGTTCTGGCTGGTGAAACGACTATCTCTATCGCTAACTATCGACAATGGGATTCCATTCTCACTAACCCAAAAATCAGAGAACTTCCGTATAACTAAGTCTGTACGTGCCTCTGCAGGCAAAGGAACAAAAATTGCATACTTGCTAAATCGGTCAACTATGATCATGACTTGGCTCTTACCATGTCTGCTTTTGACTTGGGTGTCCATGAGCCTATGGAAACTGATTCTCCTGGCTGATCAGGAATAGGCCATAAGCGGTTAACAGGGACCCCCACTTTTCGGCCCTAGGTAACGATGAATGATCCTAATGATCCTGAATTTAGGGTTTTTTTGTGTTTTTTTGGATTGTGTTTTTTTGGAATTTTGTTTTTTGCCTGTTTTTTTATTTGGACAAGTTTCCTGTGTGTCAAATTTGATGTCATTTGGAGTATTAGAATTTGTGTTGTGAAGAGTGCTGAAAATTGTGAAAATTTGATGACGTTTTTTTTGCCAAAATTTCATGAAAATGCACTTTTGACTTGCTGTTTTATATGTTTTTAATTTTTGTTTTTTTGTTTTGTTTTTATAATATGTTAGTAAGAAGTGCACTCTATACATCGGTATGAAGTTTGTTTAAAATGACCTTATGTTTTTCTTACAAATTGAGGTGAAAAATGGGGGGTCGGTTAACCTCTTCTCGAATAGGCAGGGGTTTGAGAAGACCTAGAGGGGCAAGCGTAGTGGTCTTGTTCCTCTGGCAAACTTTACAACTGCGAACATACTCTATGCAGTAATTCTTCATCCCTGGCCAGGTATACGCCTGCATTAGATTGGCTAGAGTCTTTTGCCAACCGAAATGTCCCTCAATATCGTGGCATTCCCCTAGGATCAGACTGCGGATCTCTTTGTTGTTGGGAACGCACAGGCGGTCAAAGACATTAGTCTTCTCAAACAGTAATCCCTCTGTAGTGCGGTAATCTGGCTTGGTCTCTGGGGCCTCTCGAACTCTCTTTAGGAGGGCACTATAGATAGGGTCCTGCGCATACGCTTGTCTCACTTTCTCCTGCAGGTCTCTCCCTATATCCAGATAGTGTACTATAGCTCCAAAGTAGTCTGATCTTCTACTCAGAGCATCCGCAACTACGTTATATTTGCCTTTGACGGGCTTAAGCTCAAAGTCATATTGGTCTATTTCAGCGGCCCACCTAGTCAACTTAGGTGTTATCTTGGCCTGAGTCTTTAACCATCGAAGTGTCTCGTGGTCAGAATACACTTTGAAGTGCCTCCCAAGCAAGTAATGCTTCCAGTGCTCTAAGGCCTGCCTGAGAGCGTAGAGTTATCTCCCGTATGTCGAGGTGGCTACCTTCTCTGAGGGCATCCTCGCTGACATGAACTCTACGGGTCTATAACCATTGCCGTCGTCCTGCTATAACACGGCGCCTATCCCATACTGACTCGCGTCCTTGGTGACGACAAATGGCAAAGACAGATCTGCTACTTTGAGGACAGGGTACTCTATTAACGCGCGCTTTAGCTTCTTGAGCGCAGACGTACAATCTCTATCCCATTGCTAGATTGCCTCTTTCTTAAGCAACTTGCGCAAGGGAGCGGCGATAGTAGAAAAGTTCCCCACGAACTTTGTATAGTAGTTAGCTAGGCCTTAGAACGACCACAATTCTGTCAATGTGCGGGGCGTTGACCAGTCTCTAATTGCCGCTATCTTGCTGTCCTCAGGCTTGATGCCATCTCCGTCTAATACGTGGCCCAAGTACAAAACTTGTGTCTTGGCCCACTCGCACTTCTTCGCGTTGATCTTGAAGTTTGACTCTCTCAACTTCTCCAAGACCTGCCTCAGATGACCCTGATGCTTCTGGAGGGTCTTACTGAAAACTAAGATGTCATCTAAATAAACTACGACAAATCTATCCAACCAGGGTCTAAACAGATCATTCATGCAATGCTGAAATGTAACTGGCGCGTTGGTCAGTCCAAAGAGCATCACTATGAACTCATGGTGCCCATATCTAGTCCGAAACACAGTCTTATACTGATCATCAGGATGGACTTCTATCTGATGGTATTCCGACGTCAAGTCTATCTTAGAGAAATACTTGCAACCCCGCACCCGATCTAGAAGATCGTCTATCCTGGGCAACGGCTCAGCATTCTTCACTGTAATCGCATTCAAACCCCTATAGTCTATACACATATGCAGCTCTCCTTCCTTCTTTGGGACAAACAGGACTGGTGTTCCAAAAGGAGACAAACTGGGCCTGATCCAACCTTTCTCGAGGAGCTCGTCTAACTGCTTGCGCAGCTCCTGTAACTCTCTAGGGGACATCCTGTAGACTGCTCCCTTACGAGTTCCACTGCCAGGTTCTATCTCTATCCTGTGCTGGATGGGTCGCGACACTATTCCTGTCGGCGACTCAGTCAGGTCTTTGAATTACCCCGACAACTTGGCTATGGTTGGATCTATGGAGTTGTCTTCTTTCTGGGCCTCAGTGACAGGTCTAACATAAACTACGAAGACCTGCTCCTCTAACCGCTCCTTCTTCACTAGTCGGGCAAACGCGGGAGCACTGAGACAGCAGTGTGCCAGAGTGTTATCTACACCTGACACATGAAACAGGCGGGCAGTCTTAACCTCGCCTGATAGACTAGGGAGCCTACACTCATGCTCTCTCAAATGGAGTGTGGCTCCGACTGCCTCTCCCCAATCCATTCCTAACACTATGTCGAAAGGAAGGTCATCCTGTACGAGGAGAGTCAGGGAATGGAGAACTTTCTCCACCTTCCCATCCTTCTCTAGGCGAAAATACGGCTGGACTCCCTCTACGTAGTCCTCAACTCGCATTGTGCGGTTGTCTGTGAGGACACTGACTATGGGGTCTGCTAACTTTTGGACTTTTAGTCCTAGCCTCAGCTTCTTCAGCGCCCTACGGCTAATATACTTGCGGGTGGCCCCTGAGTCTATAAGGGCCCCTACCCTGCTTCTAAACACTTCTACGTCTACCAAGAGTTGTCCTTTACTCTCTTTCGTCATCTTGGCCCAGGCTGGCATCCTCTCCTTTAACTCTTCTGCCACACCTGTGAGGGACGTGCCTAAAGAGCCGCTAACACAAGCACTCTCTGGACAGTTAGCTAGGCACGGGCCTGCAACCTCTGCCATAGGCTCATGTGGGTTGGGAGTGTTCTGTTCGCGCGCGCTCACTTCTCTACATGGCCTTAAAGTAGGGGCAGTTGCGACCCCTACTGGCGGCTGCCTTTTGACTGTTGGGCAGCCCAACAGGGCTGTCTATACTTTGGACAAAATTTAATTACGTGGGCCGGGTCACCATAAAACACGCACTGACCCAAATTCACGTGTTCCTGCCATAAACTCTGGTCCAAGCTAAAATCCTCCCAGGGCTTGCCCTGTGGCAAGCCTGGGTGCCATCCTCCTTGAGGTGCCCTTCCACCTCTTCGCTGCGGGGACCGATTAGAACCCTGGCGATTTAGCAGGGGACCTTGATCCCTACCTCCCACTTGGCGGTTCCCTTGTCCGCCAACCCCCTGTGCGCCTGGTCCTCGGCCTCCCATGGCCTGGCCCCTTTGGCCCTGGCCTCCTCCTCTACTTTGCGGCCTCCCTCCAGCCGCGACAGCAGCATAGGACCTCCCCTGCCCCACGCTACTGTCCTCCTCTTCAAGGCCCCACTCAATTTGACTGTATGGGACCTCGTCTGTACCACCTTCTTCTAAGGTAAGGATCATGTGATCCTTGGCCCTGACTTGGCCCGAGATGGTACGACCTTTCCACCTTTTCCCCTTATCTGGGTCCTTATGCCAGAAAGTGGTAACTGGCATGGACTTTGACTCATACAGGACCACCTCTCTACTCAGCACATCATAGGCGATGCCGACCTGTTGAGACTTGTCAAAAAAGTACCCATGCAGGGCCTCTGGCATGGCACGATAGAACAACTGGACCAAGTCGTCCATAACGCCCTTGAGTGCTCTCACACTCCTCCACTGTCGCGAGTGGATCGTCTGTAACTTATCAGAGGCTCTGACGCCTCTCGTTGGATCAACAAATCGCTCCCTCAGGAGCTTGAAGAATTGAGGAAGGGGAGTGACTTTAGAATAGGCAACCAGGTTGTTTTCACAACCGGCTGCGCGCGCAAGGGACCTGGCGAAACTAGCCGCTTCATCTTTGAGGGCCTGGAAAGCTACGAGGACTTGCTCCTCTATCAGGATATGCTGTAAATACACATAACTGTTGACACTGGCTTCCCAATTGTCAAAGTTCTCCTCCGTCTTTCCCCCGTATGCATCTGGGAACTTGAGCTTTACGGGCTCTTTATGGGGTCTGGCTTCGCCCTCTACAGCGGCTATTGCTTTGGCGCCCTCGATGGCGCCCTCGCAATACTTCCCCACGTTGTCTCTTAACCTCCTAACTTCTCCCCCAACGTGGGTGACCATATCGCGTGCAAAGTCCCTAAACCCCGACCGCATGGCACTCAAGGCTACCTCTTGACTCCAACTGGCTTGGCGCTCCTCCATCCACGCTGCGCTCAGCACCTTTAGGTACCCCAACACCTTATCCCATTTGGCCTTGTCGTCTGGCTCGGCCTGCACTTCCTGCCTACAATCCTTCACTTTTGCCACCTCGGCGGTCAACCTGTTGACTTCCTCCCTCCTTCTCTTCTTCTCCCTCTTCATCATCAATTTCCATGCCGACTTATGCTCCTCCTCCCTTTCTCGCCGTTCCATAGGGTCCTCCATTGCTGCTAGCTCGCTGGCTAGCGCATCTCTCTCCTCCTGAGGCACATAAGATTCCGCCTCCTCGTCTTCTCCCAACGATAAATTAGTGACCCACTCACTTATCTTTTTCTCCATCTCTGCGTCTTTATCCTTTTTCGTGCCACTGCTCCCTTCTCTACTTTCAATCCGCATTCTCTGTTTTTCTTCCTCTGCTGCCGCTTCTTCCTCAACAGCCTTTCTCCTCTCTTCCTCCTCCTGTTGAACCCTCTTCATTTCCTCCTCCAACCTCTTCATCTTAGCCACCTGCTCCTTTGTGATAGCCTTTAGCTTCGCTTGCTTCTGGAGCTCTTTCCTCTCTTTGTTCTCTTTCACTAAGGCGGCCATTTTCTCCTGCTGTTCCTGAGTGTAGGGGCTAGTGCTCAACCCACTCCGGGTGTCAACCATGGTGATAAGTGTACAACCGGATTAGTGGTTCCAAACCTCACCACGTAGACTCTAACCCCTAACTGACAGACTTACAGACTCAATCTAAGACTCACAGAATCCGGATAGGGATCCTGCCAACTAGGGTCTCTAGCCTGGACCTAACTATGGCTGTCACTACTAGACCTTTGCTGATCAGGAGGCATTTAAGGAGATCCCCCATAACTCCTCAAGAATTATTTAACGTCGCAGACAGGACGACGCGATCAGCAGGTCTCTCAAGACTTAGACAGTCTGTTGTACAGCCCACAACTCGGATTTTGGGCCTACCGTGCCACACTGAGCAGCCCGCCGGTCAGTACCGGTCCTTGGGAGGGTTCGTGTCCTCCGGGACAGTCGAGTCATCAGACACAGTCTTTAGCCCTACTCAGCCCGTGTGGGTTTGGTCAACAAGACCCTATCCTTCATCCACAGAGTACTATCACCTAGGACAAAAGAGAATGCAGAAAGAATAGACAGACAGACTGGACTCGGCAAATACCAAGGGGTGTGTGCACATCCATAGGGTGAGGGATAGGTTGAAGGCTTGGCAAGATTTTACCGGCTCAAGCTTGGTCAAAGTCTTGGTCAACGCCTTGGGCAACGCCGGTCAACACAGTAGTCAACTCCCGGTCAACGCCGGTCAACACCTCCGGTCAACCCTCTTGGTCAACCCCCCGGTCAGCTATGGCTGCTGGCTCCTCTTCCTTGCCAACCCTCTTCCTCTTCTTCACCTTCCTCGCCTCCTTTCACCCTGCTGTCTCCTTTCTCTTTTTTTTTTTTTTTTTTTTTGTTGATCGGCCCTCTCTTCACCTCTCGGCTATGGCCTCTTTCTCTCCCTTCTCGGTCTCTCCCCCTCTGTCTGGTCTCTCTCCCTCTTTCGTTACTCCGTGGTGACACTCTGCGGCTATGGCCGCTTCTCCTTCCTCCACGTGGGACTGCACAACTCGCTTCACAGGTGCAATGACTTGCTGATTTCTACTGCCGAGATTGACTGCGAGGCTGTACACTAACCGGTAGGGTTAGATTCATAATTTTGTTTGGCTGAGGACTAATCGAGAGACCTGCCTATAGGGAAATTCGAGAGGGACATATCTGCAAATCTGGGAAAATATAGGCCCAGTACTAACGCGAATTCCTACAGCTACCGTAACTGCGTATAGCAGGCCCGGGCTACCCCTAGGACAGACAGGCCCTAAGCGGCCTATGCTGATAGACGGTCCTATAGCCTATAGCTGGGTCCTTTAGAGGCCGAGAGGCCGAAACAGTAACGGTACCGGTCGGTCAGTCAGTCTGGTCTAGGTCTAGCGTAGTCCATTGATAGGTTAGGCCCATAGATTCAGGACTATTGGCAGTTCATTTCTCGCGAAGCAGCGTTGGAGAAGCCAAGCAAGTTGGTGACGGTGACTGTTTGCAGGCGGCATCCTGAGACCTCGCCATTGACAACAGCCATAGCCGGCCCAGTCTGAGTCTGCCATAGCTGGGCCATCCTCAGCGCATCTACCCCTGGGGTATCTGCGTCTGGCCGGGCTATATCGAGGCTCTACACTGTGTACTCGTGGGTGGTGGCAGCCATAGCTGCCTGTTTCTTCGTCAGAGTTGTCCAGCAGCACTGAAGACTTCATCGCAGGACCTATTCTTCATCAGGGTGGTTGGCGCTGGCCTCTGGGAGGCCGGCCATTTTGATGTGGCGCTACTAACTGGGTGTAGGATAGAGAGTGGGGTGTGATTTCTGAGAGTGGCGAGATACTGGAACAAACTCTGTTACGATTATTGTTCGAGTTGGCTCATCATCAGTGTGATTTCAATTGTTATCCTCGCAGGTTCTAATTGTGATTGGTTGCTGGGAGTTTGTCAGAGAGTGAGAAACACTGTTTGTCTTCTCCCCATCTGTGCATAGCTGTATTCCGCTGCCTACTCTGATCTGTGTGCAGTGTGGACTCTGTCTCCTCTCCCCCTTCCCTTACGCATGTATGGGCGTGTATGAGAGTGTCTGTGTGTGAGTGGCGGTAAAAATCGTCAGACAACCAAGATCATAACACAGGTATGTCACAACCAAACTTGTATCGCTCATCTCTCTCTCTCTCTCTCTCTCTCTCTCTCTCTCTCTCTCTCTCTCTCTCTCCTCTTCTTCATCGTGGTCTTCTTTGCAGGTGCGCGGCGGCTTCTCCAACCTCAGGTCCGCTATGGCGGACTACAGCCTTCGGCGACCACCTCTGCTATGGCACATCAGGCCCTGCACACGACGTCGCGCATGGAATAGCGGGTACCAGCTCCGATACCAATGCAATCAGACTCCTTCTCATTCACACTTTTCATGCATGTAAACAGTAGCGCAGCAAACTGGCGACATGCGCCCACTCAAAACTCAGAGATATAGCATCCAGATAAGAGTTCACTTTCAACTGGCTATGGCGACTCAGCGCCCAATCAACTCACTGTTCACATACACCGGATCACCCTGGATATCCCACACGCATCACTCTGAACACACACACTTCACACTAAACTACAGCTATGGCAGCTATGGCTGCCTCTACCCTATCGCTATGCTACGCTCCTTCTCTCTTGCCCACTTTGTCCTTCGGGCATACTGCAGACCTCCTTGCACAAGTCGCTGTGGCAGCGCTTCCGCATGGCTCCCGCAGGAATGAATGAAAGGCTGGGCGCTGCC